GAGCGTTTACATTTATACCCATCGACAATGTATCGAATCTATATTCGATCTATGACAATCACAAACGAGACCAGTTTATATAATTATGTAAATGTACAGACACCGTCAACCGCACGATTCGATGACGTTTTACACGACGTACCGGATGAATTTAGTTTTACGATCTTGTTAAAAGTGCCGCATGTTCTTAATGACACGTATGATAGTGGTATGCACATTATTGTCAAAGGACCTAATCGGTGCAAGAATTATTCGAAAATACCTCAAAATTTACTAAGGCAGGTGAATGTAAAAAAGAATGATGTCGGATGGCAAGCTGCTGAGATCACGGTTTGTGTATTATTTTAATATAATTTCAAAAACATTTCTACATTTGAACATGTTAAGTAATAAAAATAGACAATATAAACAAATTATTTATTTACTTATTTACAAATAGATATATTAAATATATAAGTACTAAATAAGTGCGCACTTTTAACTGTAAGCAATTAAAGCAGGTAAAAGAAAAACTGTTGCTTTTAGTTTTTGAATCAACTTTCTCTCTCTCTCTCTTTCTACACACACACATAGAGTTAATGTTTTATTATTTTAGACAGATGAGATTGCTCGCAACAATTATACCTTTATAGTTGGTGACAACAAAACTTACGGAGGAGCTAGAAATTGCCCATTGCAGCCTAATCGATCATATGAGATAATAGTTATTCTAAAAGAACAAAGATCAATATTTCGGATTTCTAATGAAATGACCATGCTTAAACTATGGACTAGCATCGGAAAAGTTTCAGATTCATCACCGATTTACGAAATATGGCTTTCTATTCCTATAATATTACTGCTCATTATAGTTGTCACAGTGTTTTATATTTATCGAAGGTAGCATATTGCTTCATTAAATACTAATACATAAATATACTAATTCTACTTTATTAAATACTACTTCATTAAATACTTTATTAAATATTAATACTAATACATAAATATATAAATGCATGCGGTTTACTTATTTCTTTGGATCTTTTTATGCCAGAAATCAAACAGTTGTAATTAAGTAGAAAATAATTTATCAATTTCATCTACAAAGCAGTGTGTATAATATTTACAGAAGAACGAGACAAGTATTGGAACAGATGATGTCGCAAAACGAGATGGAGGTGTGGCAAAACGCTGAGAAGACGACTGTCTTTAGTAATACAGTCAAATCTCGGTAACTCGAACCTCTGTAACTCGAAAACCTCTATAAGACGAAAATTTTGTTTATTCCTTTCCGCTCCGCGGAAAGAAAAAGTGCACTTCGATGAATCGAAACCTCTACAATTCAAAGATTTTAGCTCTTCTCTTGAGATTTGAGTTATCGAGATTCGACTGTAGTAGTAATACTTAAATTAGTAATATTAAGATTATTTAAAATTAATATAAAAAGTATCAATTTTTGTGCGATAATTGTGGGCAGAGGAGGACGATAGAAAGTTGAGAGGATAAGAATGTTGATAGAAGTAGTGCTGGGAAGGAATAGAGAAGAGGAAGAAGTAATAGAGAAATTGCAAAGAATAAAAAATGGGGACGTTTGAGAAAAAGAGGGATGGGAATAAAATTGAGATGAAAAGATTGTATGAAGTAGAGTGGATAAAGAGACGTTGAGAATCACTATGAGTAAGGTTGAGGAAGTGAGGTGTGAAGGATGGAGAGTAAAGATATGATCTAATGAAGCGGCGGAAGCGAGTTAGAATTAAATTAAATTAAAAATAGAGTGTGTGTTTGTGTGCAGACAAGTTAGATAGATTATAGTTGTAAGTTAGCCGTAAGTTGTAAAATTAAGTGTAACTTTTCAATTTTGTAAGGTGTTTAGTTGATAAGAGAATAATGTAATGATTATGATTGTGAAATCTTTATGAAACAAAAAATAAGTAAATACATACATACGCACATAGTAACAAATTTTAATAAATTATTTTATTATAATATGTATATTTTAACCAGGATGAGAAGCATTAGATTATTATTTTTGTCTGAATTTACATAGGAAAAGTTTCGGATTTATTGGCTTCCAAACTGTGGATACTTCCATTAATATTATTGCTCCCCATAATTGTTACTACTGTTATTTCTCATATCTACCGAAGGTAGCGTATGTCTCTTATAAAAAAATGATACTATATAAATGTAAATGCATATGTTTTGATTTACATCAATTAAAGAATCTTAGGGTCTAAAGGTTCTACGCAAAATATTTTTAAATCGTTTTGTTTAAATTAATTTTTTGAGTTTCTTATAAGTGCTCTTATATTATTAAGCAAGATTAGAAAAAAAGATACAATGATTTATTTTTTTTATTTACAAAGCAGTGTTGATTGCAATGTGTAGACTGTTTACAGAAGAAGAAGACGTCAAATTTTGAGACAAATAATGTTGGAGAACGAGATGGAAATGTGGCTAAATATGGAGAGAACAACTGTCTTTATATAGTACTAGTAATACTTAGATTGTCAGGAATATTAGGAATAGCAACAAAGTTTTAATGAAGTATCTCTGACAAATAAAATAAAAACGAAGCTAACATCCGGCTAATATTCTTGTTATTATGTTATATTTTAAAAATCAGGATTTTCTATAAAAAATATTTAACATTTAAAACTGAGATTCATCTCGGGCTCTGTGAAGTCTTTCACGTGAGTTTTTTGAATTGTACTTACAATTCTAATAATCATATAGGATGCTAAATTTGCATCTCGTATATGAAGTACCCCGAATATCCCCCCAACTTAATTTAAAATAGTGCGAAAAAAACTATATGATTATTAGAATTGTAATTACAATTCAAAAAACTCACGTGAAAAACGTGAATTCGATTATATATGTGTACACACGCACATATATATATAGACATATTTCCCGCAGAACATTTAGCGAACGGCTCTTAACGACTAATCATTCATTTATTATTTAAAAAAATATTTATTCGAAAAACTTTTATTCTTATAATATAGTGTATATATGATAAATATATACAGCTTCTACAAAATAAAAACTGTAGTTTTATTTAAATTCAATATGTGTGTTTATTCTTGCTTTCAATATTTTAGTATAACACTGGCTAATTTTTTAATATAATATGTGACTGACGTTAAATTTCTTTTTTTAAGTAGAAAATTTGTTTGTATGTCAAGTACTATTCGCCTTGTTGTCTCGCAAAAGAAAGAACACACGCTAGTGTTTTGCGTCAAGTTCATGTGTAGCCCGACCGTGACTCATTTACGCGAGTCGGGCAGTTCATTCAGCAATGTTAACCCTTTGCACTCGAGGCCTTTTTCGCTCGCGCGAACCAGCAACTCGAGACAATTTCGGCTATATTAGAGAAACATTTTACAGGTACTTTAAAATCATACAAACGTATACAAATAATAAAATTTCACCAATTTATTTATTTTGACTGGACGCATCAAACCTCCCGGGCGCCATAGCAGCGCCGCTCGAGTGCAAAGAGTTAAGATTCTCATACTTCAACAATAACTTAACCGATCAATTTCGCAGTCTGAATCAACTCGGGCTGAGAAAGTAGAAAAAAATAACGTTATGTTTGTTTTGTACATGCTTTCTGAGCAAAGATTTTTAAGGTAAATTATTTATTATTATTAAAAATACGGAAAAAAATTTATTTAAATTCAGAAACGTCGTCTGGCTAGACAGGCCAGTAGTGAGGAAATGTCTTTTTCACGTCGTCTCTACTAGATGGCAAATGTGTAGTGCGACGCATGATAGAAAAAAAAAGACAGAGAACAGTATGTTTGCTCTTTTTTTCTACATATATATATTAACTACAGCGCTGAAAAAGTTATAGTTAGAGAGTGAGTGAGAAAGAAAGAGAGATAAAACATGTATAATCACATTAGGAAGACAAACCTTAGGAAGACATGAGAAAGTTTATTTTATTGTACATATATATTTGTATGAATATATTTTATACACACACACACATATAAATATGTTCCTAATTTTAGTTTTTTTGATGATTATAGATTCTTTCGGAGTGTTTTGAATGATCCTGCTTCTAATCAATCTGAAATTTTGCACAAAAATAGTGTTTGATGTGACAAATACAGCGTGTGTACCTCATTTCGAAAAATAAAAACCAAAGTTTTAATGATATAAAAACTATATCGATTAAAATCAACTTTGGGTGTATTTTCGAATACCTTCTTTTTGTGATTGATGTGAAAGTTTACACAAAAATAGTGCTTGATGTGACGAATAAATCGCGCGTGATTTACTTTAAGAAATATAAATCACATTTTTTATGATATGAAACCTAAATTGCCTAAAATTGATTGCATATGATATATATAAACATATACATGTACATTTTGTATAAATGTACAAACATCATCAACCGTAAAGTTTAACGACATTTTACTCGTCGTACCAGACAAATTTAATTCTACGATCGTGGTAAATACACCACATGTTTTTAATGATACGTATGATAGTAAAATACACGCTATTGTGAAAGAATCTAATTTCGATGCAAGAAATATAAAAAAATACCTTCAAATCTACAAAAGCAGGCGAGTATGAAAAAAAAATTATGTCGCTTGGCAAGCTGCTAATATTTCGGTACATGAAAAAAAATATTAACAAATATAATATAAACAAAATATTTACTTCTCAATGTACATTGTGTCAAAAAACGAAAGTTTCTTTATGAAAATTTTTCTTAGTAGCTTTTTACTAAACACTGAGCGACTACTACGAGCTTTTTATTGTTACTCACATAGATAATTGTTATACTATATGTGAAAAAAAAAATAATTTAAAGAGTCTGTACAAAAGTTTTATTAATATCTGTGACAAAACGATGCAATATTTGATATTAGATGCTTTTGCAATATATTATACAAATGTCTAAAAATAGATCAGAGACCATCTATAGGACAGTTACATTTGTGTTTTACTAACACATCTGCTTATATTATCGTTATAGATAACTTCACGGTTACTTTTAAATCTTTCATACATTTAAATAAAGACTCGCCATACGATGTCATTAAGCTTTGCGATTTGACAGATCTTTTACAAATTTGATGCCACTACATAATTGAATTAATATTCGGTAATTCCTACTAGTAGACAGATTTGACAATGAGTGTGCCAGTTATAGTTAGCAGACATGGAACCTGATATCGCTGATTCATTAAAGGAAGTTTAATTTCCTTTCCACTACTCTTTTCTCTGTTAAAATTACTGTAACAATGGTAGTGTACTCGTTGCGGTTATACTGCAAAGTTCATAACTAAATTAGACTTATTCTTATTACTTTGCAAAGTTTTGTGTTTAACATTTGAACATTAACAGAGTTATTTTTCTTTTTCAATTAGTATTTTGTCTTTCTTTTTGATCGGAAAAATCAAAACTACTTCTGTATAAGTATATATTTTGTGAACTATGCATTCTACGCTGCAATTACTCTGTGAAATTATCATAAAAGTGATTTTGTTTACTACAATTACGATTAAAAGTGCGAGTTACACGTAGACAATCATGTTTTATACAAGTTTTTATTCTTAGTATATTTGCTGTGCTTGTGTTGTGTTTAATAACGTATACTGGAAAATATATATGTTGATATAAAATACTTAATTAATTTCACTATTTGTTTTGATTTGATTATTATTATCTGGTGACTTTTTTTATCGCTTGTGAAGATCGACTGTGAATGTGGAACACATTTAACGACAATGCAGATAATATTAAAATTTCTACTCTTTGCTGCCCACATTTTCCACATTTGTGGAAAAGTAATTCTTTTACGTGGAGAATCATATCATACAAATTCATCTGTAAGTGAGAGAAAATATATATGTCTCTCAGAAAATGACGGCGGCGCACTTGTATGGAATGACGACTTAGTCCTTCGATATCAGCAAGAAAATCGTACTGACTTGCGTAAGTTATAACGTTTTTATAACATATCAAAAAGTTATCAGTTTACAGCTTTGCAAATAAACCTTTCAAAATAAATTTTCTGAACAAGTTGTTCCACTTTTTCTTATATTATAGAAGTAAACTATACTATATTATAGAAATACACGTATAAAACTTTGTAAATTAAGTCTACTAAATACTTTTGTAAATAACTTCTACTTCATCTTAAATTTAAGTACTATTTTTATTTTACGTTTAATAGTCAAATATTCTATACACATTGATATCATATTTCTCGAGATTATACGCTACTATATACACGCATATTATATTATATTGTAGAGTTCGACAGTACACATGTATACAATACCTGGATACATTGCAAAATAGACGCAGAAACAGGCTGTTTAGAATCACGAGATCGAAGTAACTACAAAGTAGCAATGTTCAATGCATGGATGAATTGTACATTAATAAACACAACAATAAGCTGTTTAGATTCATGGAATCGAGAAAATTGGATTCTTACAGATGCTATGAGAACACCAATGGGTCCGGTATTTGATCAAAGATGGGAAGGTAGAAAATTTGCAATGTGTAAAAACTTATATCTATTATTAATTCAAAATATTCAATACACTGCATCATTAAATGTATGCAAAATGTAGAGTTACTATTACTGTTTTAAATAACATGTACTTAAAATTTTTAGAATTTCAAGAACTAAAATTTCCAGAAAACGGCTATTTGGATTCGGCAGGTGTATCAATTCCAAAAACAGGAGCGATGTCTATTTCAATTCGTTCATGGCAGAATGTGCACATTTCGGTCTGTCTTCTTCGTTCTTTCATATCTTACAATAGACGTTCTCTGATTAAGTTATTTTGTTTTGCAATAACATTAAGATATGATGATACGGAGTTCACGGTTCAATATGAGAAGTTTATTTATTTAGACAACGATTCACTTCGCCACCGCACTGTCACCGACAAAATCTCCAAAAGAGTAAGATATAAATACAACATATTAGTATTTATATGATTTTCAGGGTTTTCCTTTCTTATACATATCAAAAAATTTCTAAATCAAACCATAACAAAAAATACTTGTACTTAAAATACAATTGTATGTATATATTTCTGTGTATATATTTCTTTACGACAATGTGAAAAAATATATATTTCTTTCTCAAAAAATGCAAGTTGAGCATCTAAAAAAAACACAAGACAAGTAGATAAATATTATAATTATTCCAGTTAACATCATTATCTGAGACTGAATGGCGAACGTTCGTTATTTCATGGGATTTTTGGAAAAGAAATATATCTGTTTATGATACTAACAATAATAACAGAATGCTTACAATTGAAAATACAGAAAAGTTTAACTTTACTGTCGACGAATTTGACAATTTTTACACTTTATTTTCCATCAAAACATTCAGACAAGAAACAAAGCAATTACCCAAAGTGTTGTGTCGCTTCCATGACTGTAAGTATATTAATTTCAAACAATAAGTTATTTAAGAACTTTACTTTATTCTAAACAAAGCAAACTTTAACCAAATTGTGATTTGTCAAATGCAAATAGTTTTGTCAGAAGTAGATTTGTTTGCTGAAAAAAAGGAATATTATTTTTATGCTATCACACTATATAACAAATTTTTAGCCTTTTAATACTTAAATAATATAATTATTATAATATAACTTCAAAATATACAACTATATATAATATCTTCAGATTCTCTTCTGTTTGTATGGTAATTTTTACACATTTCTTCTTACACGCGGCTTACGACATAGCAATATATTGGAACCTCGTTTATGCGAATCTTTTTTATTCAAACAAGTTGAGGCCCCAAACTTTTTACGCAAACTGTTGATTCGTATAATAGAGTTTAAGCATTGGTTATCTGAACTATTTGTTCCTTGATCGATTCGGATAAANGAAGTTCTACTGTAAATACTCACAAACTCAAATCATGATATAGAATAGTCTAATTACCTGTAATGAAAAATACATACACTCACGTGTATATATATTGCGTTCCAGACACTTTCCTGTACACAGTTGACGAAAATGCAATTTTAACAACTCGTTCTTATAAACCTAATACTCAGAAGATGTGCATACAGTTATCACTAGGCTTGTGTGCAGNATGTAATGCAGANGTCNNGATNATTGANTCTACAACGCATAAANTATTACACTCTGTAACAGCTAAAGGCTCACTAAATGCTGCGATTCACGGNTTACCTATGTGGCAACTCGTTAAACTTGATGGAAATTTTTCCGCCGACACTTATATTAGNNAAATAAAAATCCGTGTAATACCCAAAATTACGAAGCCTACTCATAACCCGTTATGGGCAATAGNTCATGTTAGTCAATGTCCCAATACAGGTGTAAATATGCATAAATTTTNCATATATTTACTACCANTAAGTNGAATACTTGAATTTCTCAGTAAATTGTTNCTAATACTTTTTTACACTTATATCTTTTATGGTTTATGGTTTTCCTTAGACGTTTTGAGGAAAGGAATTATTTCGCAAAAAAATAACAATGCTACTTTGTTGTCGAATATAACTTGCCAAAAATTATTTTTTAACGAAAATACTGTCGTAAGTTCTCTGCCAAAAGTTACAAACAGCATAGATCTAGGTACTTAACAACTTTTTAAATATTACATGTACAATTTTATATTCTTATAAGCTTTCAAACCTATTTATATTATTGATTTCTTAAGTAGCAATATACAATATAATATTGTATTTGTAATCAATAATATTTTATAATATAATATAATTTATACTATATTTTACAAAATAATTGTATTTTTATAAATTTATTTAGACACAGATGACAAAATTTGTCCTGAAGGAAAAATTGGACCAGATTGTTTCTTTTCCTGCGAACATGATCTAAACAGCTCTTTTAACTGTAGAGGAACTGCAGTCTGTTACAAACATGGTTGTTTATGTTCTCCAGGATTTCAAGGCGATACATGCTCTGATTGTAAGTAGGTTGGAATGCTTTTCTTACAACAGTTTTATTACTATGACACTCGTCATAGTAATATATATTATAATTATGTGTTATAAATGCATAATATTAATACTTATATTATTGTATTAAATATATATTATTACTCTTTATGTTGTTAAATATATATATATATAAATGCAGTATGTAACAACAATTGGTATGGGTATAATTGTACAAACAAGTGCGGTTCATGCAACTCTTTTGGATGTAACAAAAGAACTGGAGAATGTATTAACGGATGTGCTGATAACTTGAAAATATTGTACGTGCCACCCTTGTGTCATATAGGTAATTCCGAATTTTTCCTGATTTAGAGTATACTATTGCGATTATATTTGTCAGACATTTGTATCATTCTGATAATAGTTTTTTGACAAACAAGTGTTTTATTGATTTTTAAGGCATAGATAAGCTCACAGAACCTGAAATTGTCTCTGTCACTTCAACAAGCATCCGAACTAAACTTCCTATAGTGTGGAAACAAGAATATGAAAAAATACAAATAACTTATTCGTTCACTATTATGGTAACACTTACCAATGTTTTTAAAATAGAAGTAAAAAAAACATGTAAAACTAAGTTTATCTTTGACAAGAATTTATCATTACCAAAACCTGTCTCAGTAATCTATTATTCAGGCCGTTGTTTGACGTGCTCGGAAGAAAAAAAGTGAAATAACACTTTCTAATGTAATTTTTCACAGGGAGAAAATAACTACACCTTTTCGCAATCGTGGAATAAACTGTTAAAAAATATGACACATTTGACAGGATATTTCACCAATTTGAATCCTGGTTCTGTTTATTCAGTCAAATGCAAATTGCTTGCAGTAAATGAAATAATTGAAAGCAAGTGGCAAAGTGTGGAAACTGATTGCGAACGTAAGTATCAATATTGTTTTTCTTGTGTATATGAATTCGTACACGCTTGAGCGTAAAACATTTTGCACTACTTTTGGCACTAAAAAAAAAGAATACAAAAAGAAGTTTCCAAATGATAAAGTTTTACTTGTATTATTTTATATTCAAATATCATCATAATCATACTATTTTTGTGACCTACGTTGTTATTTTCTAACCACATCATTATTTTGTTACTTATTCATATAAGAAATATTTTTCTTATTTTTTTTTAAATTTTTTATTTATACAAATAGGTATATATTTTTTACATAGTATATTGAGATGAATGTAAATACAAAAAATGTTTAAAGCAGTATGATAAAAATGAGATTTATTCTTGTTTAAAATCGCATGTATATAAGAGAAATTACAATACAAAAGAAATATGTAAATACAAGATTTGATACTAAATAATATCATACTACAAATTTTTATTATATCTCTTATATACATAGTCTCTTTTATACTAACTGGATGTTTTCTTGAACTGTCATCATGTAGCAATAAAAATCTTTACCGTATTGTCTACGGAAAACAGTATAATTATTGGATGGCAAAATACTTCAGATGTACGTACATAGTTTGCTTTGTATTCTAACATAACAGTATCTTTATTTAAAACGTAGTATGTATTGAATTAATAATACAGACATAATTTTTTTTTTTATACTAGCACTTATTTCCATGTCCAGCACATTGGTATTATGTAACTCTTCAAAATAAAAATACAGGCGAGATTATTTCTAATTCAACAGTTACCACTTTTCCCCATAAAGTGTCAGNTTTACCATCACATACTGTTTTCAACGTGATTGTGAGTCGTCCGCGACTTGCTCATATAACCATAAAACATAGCNTCANGTTCATCACTCATATTCGTACATTACGAAGCGGTAAGTTTNTGTCTTTATTCTGATNGTTGTAGTACAGTAAAAANTTTCACAAATNAAAACTTCATATATTACATAAGTACGTCTGTCTAATATTTTATAAATANCATTAGCTTCAACAAGAGTATTAGATATTCAACATTTTGCAAACTCGAGCACACAAGTCACTCTGAAATGGAACTCTCCAGATTATTCAAGCATAGTGCTATATGAAATAACATTAAAGGTAATTTTATGTAACTTGTAGTTATACGTGTTCAAACGTCAACATAAATGTA